AAGAAAGAGTACCATATGTTCTCACTTGTAAGCGGAACTTGAACAATTATAATACTATAAGATAGTGATTGGCAGTAGTGGGAAACTGTCAGGGGAGGGGGGATGGGATTGGCAGTTGAGGGAAACAGCCAGGGGAGGGAGGGGTATACCTCATCAACAAGGGTACCTGCATAATCAACGTTTGTATACCTAACCCTGAATTGTACCCCACATCTTTATAATAATAATAATAATAATAATAATAATAATAATAATAAAAGAAATTCAGCTCCTTGGCAGCATGAACCATGAATGATTCTACTATTCCCCTGGGTGTATGGAGCAGGGTTAACAACCTCATCAGACTGTCTAATATTCTGAGAGCCTTTCCTGAAAAAAATGTTTTAGGATGGGAGAGGTGGCCAGAATGTTATTCCCAAATGAAACAGGCATGTTTTATACTCTTCCTTGGTCCTTAAGGACTGGCTCCTTATAGTAGACCCTTTTACGTATTAAAACAAGATATATATTTTAGTGCGAGGGAAGAACAGTATATATAGTCTAAATGCAGCTTTATTATGCATTCTCTTGATAAAATTCTCCTAAGTTTAGAAAATACAATCTTTGCATAGCTGCTGGAAGAAATCCCTTAGCTTTTCCATAAAGATGCTGAAAGATGTTTCTCTTTCCCCTGAGGCTGTTAAACTGGGATGACATAATCCTGAAACTGTCTCCAACCACATTCTTATGCTCAGTAGGGGTGAAAGGGGCCACAGAGAGACTCAAGGTTGAAGAGAAATCACATTTTTTAAGTATTTGAACTCAGCTCTGCCCCTGGACTTCCCAAACTTCCTGTTACATGCACTAATAAATTCATTTTTCCCTTCAAACTTGTTTGAGTTGGGTTTTAGTCATAAAAGAGAGCTCAGAAACATGAAGAGGGAACTGATTTGATGAGTAAGTCTGACGTGATATGAGGAAGGAATGAGCCAATGGCAGAAAAAGAAAGTCTATATTTTCAAGCAAACACATGATCACATGCAACATATAAACTTCTTATATACCATCCCTACTAAGTCCTTGGGGCTATAGGCTTAACGAGTGTATTATATAAAGAACATCAAGTAATGTTTGTGAAATTAGAATTCCAGCATTAAACAATTTTATAATCTTGGGCAATGTAACAGTTGACATTTATTTACTTTATTCTAGGCATTATGCTAAGTGCTTTATATGCATTATTTTATTAAGTCCTCACTTCATAGATGAGAATACTGAGATTCAGAGATATTAAGAAACTACCTATAAGGACATGTATTTACTAACTTCAGTTTTGGGATCTGAACATAGATCTGATTCCAGAACCCGTGCTTGCTTCAAAAAAATAGATTTGGGCAGCCTTCTTTCAGGTCTCCTCCCATTGTGGGAGCTTTTTTGTCTTCTTAATAAATTCTACTTTTCAAATAAATAAATCTATTTATTGAGATATAATAGACCCACTATAACATACAAAACAAATTCACCCATTTAAAGTGTAGCCGGGCTCAGTGGCTCAACCTGTAATCCCGTGCCTTTGGGAGGCTGAGGTGAGTGAATTGCCTGAGCCCGCGGGGTTTGAGACCCGCTTGGGCAACTTGGTGAGACCTCATCTCTACAATAAATCAAAATGAGCCGGGCATGGTGGCGTGCGCCTGTAGTTCCAGCTACTTGGAAGGCTGAGGTGGAAGGATCCCCAGAGCCCAGCAGGTCGAGGCTGCGGTGGCCAGGAGCGGCCACTGCACTCCAGTCTGGGCGACAGAGTGAGACTCCAACTCAAAAAAATAAAAATAAAAAATAAAGTGTATAATTCAGTGGTTTTTGGTATATTGACAGACATGTGTAACTATCACTACAGTTTTAGAACATTCTCATCACCTCAAAAAGAAGCCTTGTTCCCTTTAGTTATCACCTGTGTTTTTTCCCAGTTCTTAAGCAACAAGTAGCCTACTTTCTGTCTCTATGGATTTCCCTATTCTGGACTTTCATATCAATGGAATTGTATAGTATGTGCTCTATTATGAATGGTTTCTTTCATTTAGCATTATGTTTTTAAGGCTCATCATAGCATGTAGTAGTATTTCACTCTTTTTTTCATGGCTGGATAATATTTCATTGTATGGATATACCACATTTTGTTTATTCATTCATCTGTTGATGGACATTTGGGTTGTTTCCACTTCTGTTTATTATAAATAATGCTGCTATAAACATTCATGTAAAAGCTTTTATGTGGACGTATGTTTTCATTTCTATTGAGAATATAGCTAAGAGTAGAACTGTTGGGTCATATGGTAATTTTATGTTTAACCTTTTGAGGAACTGCCAAACTGTTTTTCAAAGCAGCTGAACCATTTTAAATTCTCACCAGCAATGTATGAAGGTCCTACTTCTCCAAATCCTCCCAACACTTGTTATCTGACTTTTTTATTCTCCAAATCCATAGAGACAGAAAGTAGGTTACTTGTTGCTTAAGAACTGGGAAAAAACACAGGTAATAACTAAAGGGTATGAAGTGATATTCCCTTTGTGTTTTGATTTCATTATTCTGATGACTAATGATGTTGAGCAACTTTCCATTTGCTTACCGGCTATTTGTATATCTTTTTTTTTTTTCTTGAGTTGGAGTGTCACTCCGTTGCCCAGGCTGGCGTGCAGTGGCACGCTCACAGCCATGCCAGCATCAACCTGCTGGGCTCAGGCGATCCTTCCACCTCAGCCTTCTAAGTAGCCAGAACTATAGGTGCATGGTACCACACCCGGTTAATTTTTTTATTTATTGTAGAGATGAGGTCTCGCTTCTTGTCCAGGCTATTCTCAAACCCGTGGGTTCAGACAATCCCCTCACCTTGGCCTCCCAAAGTGCTGGGATTACAGGCTTAAGCCACCATGCCCAGTGTTATTTGTATATCTTGAGAACTTGTTTGGAGGTTCTAGCAGGGGAGCGCAGCTACTCATATACCCCTGACCAAAGAATGGTCCTCCTCTAGCAGGGATGGTCATCTTCCTCAAGCAAGCGCACAGCTTCAGGAGAGATGCACATGAAGTGGTGAGGGAAGAAGGACACCTGCCCAGTCTGCCAGGTCAGCCAAACTAACCCTGGTGATCAAAGGGGTGACAGACATCGCAATCAAATTGCCTTCTCATCCTATTTGTATATCTTCTTTGGAGAAATGTCTAAACAGATCCCTTCTCCATCTTAAAACCTGGTTGTCTTTTTGTTACTGAGTTTTAAGAGTAGTTTATATATTCTAGATACAAGTCCCTTATCAGATATAAGATTTATAAATATTTTCTTCCATTCTTTGAGTTGCATTTTCACTCTCTTAGTAGTGTCCTTTGATACTCAAAAGTTTTTAATTTTGATGATGTTCAATTTTTTTTTTCTTTTGTTGCCTTTGTTTTTTGTGTCTATCCAATAAAACATTGCCAAGTTCAACATAATGAAGATTTCCCCCTACATTTTCTTCTAAGAGTTCTACGGTTTCAACTCTTTGTTTAGATCTTTGTTCTATAGGGTAAGGGTCAAACTTCATTCTTTTGCACATGCATGTTCAGTTGACCCAGCACCAGTTGTTGAAGATACTATTCTTTTTCCATTGAATGATCTTGGAAGGCTTGTTGAAAATTAGTTGACCATAGAAGTATGAGTTTATTTCTATACTTTCAATTCTATTTTGTTGATATGTGTCTATCCTTGTGCCAGTGTCACACTGACTTAATTATTGTTGCTTTGTAGTAATTTTGAAATTGGGAAGTGTGAGTCCTCCTACTTTACTCTTTTTTCAGGATTGTTTTGGTTATTCATAGTCACTTGCAATTCCATATGAATTTTATAATAATTTGTCAGTTTCTACAAGGAAGTCAACTGAGATTCTGGTAGGAATTGTGCTGAACCTACAGATCAATTTGGGAGTATTGCCATCTTAATAATGTTAAGTCTTCTGATTCATGAAAATGGGAATTTAAAAATCTTTACTTTGATCTTCTTTAATTTTTTCAACAATGGTTTGCAGTTTTCAGAGTATATGTTTTATACTTCTTTTGCAAAATTTATTCCTAAGTATTTTACCCTTTTTGATACAATAAGAATTAAATTTTTAAATTTTAATTTTGGATTGTTCATTCAAATATATAGAAATAAAATTAATTTTTATATATTGAACTTGTTGCTTGCAACCTTGCTGAACTTGTGTATTCATTCTAATACTGGATTCCATAGAATTTTCTATACACAAGATCATATTATCTGCAAATAGTTTTACTTCTTATTTTCTAATCTGGATGTCTTTTATTTCATTTTATTGCCTAATAGCCCATATTAAAACCTCCAGTACAGTGTTGAGTAGAAATGGTGAGAATGGACATCCTTATTGTATTCCTGATCTTAGGGGGAAACCATTCAGTCTTTTACCATTAGGTATGATGTTACTGTTGGGTATTTTGTAGATGCCCTTTATCATATCGAGGAAGTTCCATTCTATTCCTAGTTTGTTGAGTGTGTCTATCATGAAGAAATATTCTCTGGTCAATCTTAACCCATGCCAGAAAAGTACTGTATAGTTTCTGCCACTGAGATTGTTCTTACTAGACCAGGAGCTCCTCTAGTGGCACTATAAGGAAGGGGTAAAGTAGACATCAAAAGCGATCATTCTAAGAATCCAGTGATTATGGCCTAAAAGAATTCAAGAAAATATATGGTTGGAAGGCATGTTGTTATACATTTATGTTATAAAATTCCAAAGAATAAGTTCAACAATCTAGAAAACAAATAACATCATTCACATCACTATATGCTCTGGGTAAGACTTGCATGTGTGATCATCATTAATGAAACACAGTAGTAACCATTAAGAGAATCTTTAGACATCAGTATTCACTGGTGGCAAGATGGATAATGTAGCATAATAAGTAATAACTTAATTAGCATTAAATAAATGATATTGGGAAGCTACAGAGGCAAGAAGATCTATATTATTTCTAAACAGATTCTAAAGAGCCATGGATTTGTGAGTAATAATAGCATCATTACCTTTTCTTATATGGGATATATGAAGTTAGTCATAATGGTGCATCTGACAATAAAGACAGGAAGAGATGGTGCATAGACCTGAACAGGAAGAAACAGTGCTTAGACACTACCAAGAAGCTTTATGTACACTGATGTGATAGTAAACAAATATATAAGTACCATTTCTCTGACCATAATCTCAAATCTTTATTAATAAAACATTACACTTCACATAGAACCATGATTTTTTTTTTTTTTGAGTTGGAGTCTCACTCTGTCACCCAGACTGGAGTGCAGTGGCCGCTCCTGGCCACTGCAGCCTCGACCTGCTGGGCTCCGGCGATCCTTCCTCCTCAGCCTTCCGAGTAGCCAGAATTACAGGCATACGCTACCACGCCCGGCTGATTTTTTGATTTATTGTAGAGATGAGGTCTCGCTGCCCAGGCGGGTCTCGAACCCGTGGGCTCAGGCAATCCACTCACCTCAGCCTCCCAAAGGCACGGGATTACAGGCTGAGCCACCAAGCCCGGCTAGAACCATGAATTTTATAGTAGATATTTTAATCAAACTGTTTACATAATCAGGGTCCTGTAAAAAATATTTATCTGGGATAATGCACATTTTAAAGGAAGTCCCAAAGGCAGTAGAGTACAATCCAATTTGGAGAATGGACTATGGAGTCAGGAACCTAGATTCCACATATTAGCTACACGACCTTCAGTAGGTTGTTTAATCTCTCTGTGCTTCAGTTTCTACAGCTGTATAATGGAAGCAATAATAGTATAGTATTTCGTGGTGATACTGTGAAGCTTAAATGACTTAATATATGTATGTACAGTATTTAGTATCTGGCATTTTGTGTTTAAAAGTGGTAGCATGCCAGGGTGTGGTGGCTCACGCCTGTAATTCCAGTTGCTCAGGAGGCTGAGGTGGGGAGATCACTTGAGCCTAGGAGCTTGAGGCTACAGTGAGCTATGATTATGCCACTTCATTCTAGCCTGGGCAACAAAGTGAGATCCCATCTCTGAAAGAAATATAAATAAATAGGCCAAGCATGATGGTTCACACGTGTAATCCCAGCACTTTGGGAGGCCAAGGCAGGAACATCACTTGAGGCCAAAAGTTCAAGACCAGCCTGGGCAACATGGTGAGATCCTCGTCTCTACAAAAAAGAAAACTTAGCCAGGCATGGTGACATGCACCTGTAGTTCCAGTTACTTGGGAAGCTGAGGTAGGAGGATTGCTAGAGCCCAGGAGTTTGAGGTTGCAGTGAGCCATGACTGTGCCACTGCACTCCAGCCTGGATGACAGAGTGAGACACTGACTCAAACATAAAATAAATAAACAAACAAATAATTGCAATAGCAAAACATAGTACTGTCTTAGTTCATTTTATGCTGCTATCACAAAATATCTTAGACTAGGTAATTTATAAAGAACAGAAGCTTATTTCTCACAGTTCTGGAAGCTGGGAAGTCCAAGATCAAGACAACAACAGGTTTGGTGTCAGGTAGGGTCCTGGTCTCCAATTCCAAGAAGCCTTGAATGCTGTATCCTCCAGAGTGGGGGAAATGCTGTTCTCCAAACGGCAGAAGAGCAGAAGGCATTAAACCCGCCCCAGAGTCTCATGGCCTAATGACCTCTTAACGTTCTTACCTCTTAATATTGTTACAAGGATCATTACATTTCAAGGCGTATTGAAGAGAACACTCAGACCATATCTAGTACCATATTTACTTACCTTTTAGTCCCTGTTGATAAGTTCCACGATGGGGACAACATAAGTTCCTGTTTGTAGCTCCCACATAATGAAGTTAATTGCTTTTTTGTGGTATAGAAATGGAATTTATCTGAAAAAGTCAGTTATATTGTAAATGGACATAAAATATAAATATGTAAACAAAATAATGTAAATACAAAGGTTCTCAGCATGTCATCTGCATGTCTTCAGTTATTACCTTATAATTAGTTGTTAAAGTCTTTTTATACTCTTCGTTGCCCTTACTTTGAAGATAACAAGGTACAGCCTAGTTGGTGGGAAGTCTTCAGGACCGCTGATTGGATAACCTGAGGGATGAGGTTGCTGTAGCCAAAAGTAGGTTACGAGACATCACAGTTTCCATGCTGGAGATGGAAGACCCATCATCTCAGGAAACAGCGCACAGTGAAGAGTTGGGCCATTTGGACACTCGGGGGCCAGCCGGGTGAGGCAGAGAGGGTCGGACCACCACCGTCTGGAGCCTGGAAGCCTGGGTGGGCAGCTTGGCTTGGTGAGAGGGCCCAAAGGCCGAGGGCCCTGAGAGAGTCCCTCTCACCTCTCCAGGCAGACGCGCAACGCAGCGGCGAGCGGTCCAGTCCCCTGCTCGGGTTCCCTCGGGGAGCGTCCACCCCGGCGCCCGCTCAGCCGC